TCTCTCTCTCTCTCTCTCTCTCTCTCTCTCTCTCTCTCTCTCTCTCACCCCCCTCTCTCTTTGTCTCACACTCGCACACTCTCGCCAAGCATCTGGTTATAGATCGCGCCGGACTCAATATCCGATAAAGAGCGCGTCGTAGATAATGCGCGTTTACAACCGCGCTGAACAAATTATATCAAATTATCGCAAATTATCGATACAGTATCCCGCCGCTATATTAGGCCCTTGGAGCGTCGATTAACTTGAATTCCATCGATTCCCTATACCCCGAAGCGAAGTATACATATCGAGATTATGTAAAAATATTCAAGGTGGGAAGTACGATGAAAAAAAGATATATATATATATAGGATAAACAAGACAGCTTTCTCTAATTTAAGCTAATTGTCGTTTCGCCATGTCGAACAGTGACGTTCCAAGTAGTATGACGCAAGCTCGTACGATAAATCGCGGCTTAAATTCCTTGCCGCGCTTGCAGGGATTTTCTGGTTTTTCTGATTCCTCTCAACGATAAGAGGATTCGTCCCCTTCGATATATCGGTTTTCCCTCGCCGGCACTTACCAGCAATCCATAAACCGTGCATTTGGCTTTCTCGTAAAAAACCTTTTTCTCTGCTGCGTACACACTGCAGTTCCATTTAGTCGCTTGTGCCAATTTTACGAGCACGCAGTTACCTCAGCACGCGAGCGTGTCTTCCCCGTGCATTACGGGACATTTTAACGCCACTCTCTTTACGATCGCACCTGGCGTCTCATCGTCGAACGGTGTCGTTGCAAACTCGGCGATATTCGTGATTCAAAATGTTGGTTTCAATTGGCGCATATCGTTCGACTTTATTCCCAGTAAATTCAAACGGATCGATAATTAATCAGGAGAACCGACTCTAATGAATCATGTTGAACAAAGCCAACGCGCGCGGCCGCGCGAAATTACGGCGCAAGTTTTCGAGGAGGTAAAGCCGTGCGTATTTCTGCACGCCAGCGTGCGCGCGCGGATAAAAATCGAGAACAAAGCAATAACGGCAATTTCCATTTCTGTCGATTTCGGTGTAACGAATTACCGCGTGTGCGGACACCGGGAGAAAAAAAGGGGGATGCTCCCCGCAGCGGAAAGAAATGCCATCAACGTAGAAATACAAGCCTTCCGCAATCTCACGTATAACGCCACGCCGAGCACGGCGAGGGCCCTCGATTGAATCAAAAAATAAATTCCATCCTCCTGTCCTCCCATTGGCGCAGCAAATCGTGTTCGGCCACCCCACCGTCAAATATCTGCCATTCGCCCGCAGCGGGCTCCTTCCGCCCAATACCATCGTCCCTCGTAAACTCGTCCTCCCCCGTGCCGAAAACTCGTCCGAATCGATCTGCACGAAAGTCCGCGATCCGAACGCGCTGGGGTCCTTAGTGCCGCGCACGGCGGATGAGACGCGTCTCCTCCACGGCGCGGAGGATCGTCAATGGCCGCAACGCGGCGGGGGAACCGGTTTCTTGCGACACTGCTTCCCGACCTTGAAAAGCCTGTACCGACCTTCGTGGATACATTCGCGACACTTCGACTGGAAGCGCGCGCGCGAGAGAGAGGGAGAGATTCGCACATCACGATCTCGCGGACGCTTTTGGCGACTAATGGAGCGTGCGACACCACGCGCGTCTCGCTCCGCGCCGATGTGTTCTGGCCGAGAAAAAGACGCAAACGAGTAGGAAACAAACATCTTCCGCGGAGAGGGTGCGCGCGTTGCGACGCTAACGGAAAGGTCCAACCGGTCTAACGGAAGACCCCCGGGTCCCCCCCTGGTAGACCCGGGTCGACGCTCGTCTTACTGCTTTATTTTCGCGTCTGCCCTGCTCGACGCGTCCTCGAGCGCGCCTCCCAGAGAAAAATCCCGCTTTAATCCCTCGCAACGTATCGGCCATCGCGCGAGCGCGAGTCGACTTAGGGAATGCCGCGGATGATAATCGGCCGGCAACGTGGCGTGGCGAATCTCGTGGCTGTAGCCGAGGGTGTGTATATATATATATATATATATATATATATATATATATATATATATATATATATGTATACATATATATGTATACATATATATGTATACATATATATATAATACACACAAACACACACACACACGCATATATATATATATATATGTGTGTGTATGAGAGTGTGTGTAGAGAGAGAGAGAGTGAGAGAGAGAGAGAGATGAAGAAGCGAGGGACGGGCCAATCGGAGGGCGACCTCCCTCGGGACTCGAGGTTGCCATGGTTGCGTCCGAGAACCCTCTTAGGCCTTCCGCGCGATCCCTCGCTGGGCCACGTTTACATGCCGCCGCGTTGTGCCGCGGCGGTGGCGACGGCGGCGGTGTTCCGTGTTCCATTAGAACGCCCGGCACCTTCACTCTCTTCGTCCTCCATCACCATTCGTATATCTCGCACTTCGACCGTTCGACCAGTCGACGATAGTCCAGCGATCGGTCCGACTCGGTGATCTCCGCCGATTCCCTCTTTCGCCCTCTCCAGCAAGGTCGACTATATATTTTTCTCTCTCTCTCTCTCTCTCTTTCACCCTCTCCTGTCTCTCTTCTCTCTCCCTCCCTCGCTCTCTTTCTCTCCGTCTGTCTCCCTTTCGGTCTCTCGCTCGCTCGAGTCTCCCTTTCTCTCGCTCTTCCTCGTCGAACTTCTCCTTTTCCCTCCCGCGCCGGAACTCCCGGTTTCCTGCACTTAGCAAGATCAATACCAGCCAACGAGGCTTGAAAACATGCGTCAACATGGTCTTGCACTGTTTGTACGTCCACATAACGCTCAGCGCGCCCGGTTACTACCACCACGACGTCAAACCCCGCCGGCCACTTCGCCGACCCTCCCGCCTCTTCGTGTCGCGGCGGTGCAGGTGAGAGGAAGCGGTGGCGGCGGCGGCGGCGGCAGCGGCGGTGGCGGCGACGAGAGGCAAGGGCACAGAGAGCGCAAGCAAACAATGTTCGATAAGGCTACGTACGTACGTATTAGCGGTGCTCGACGTTAATATTAATTATAATGATACAACGCGGCATTTTGCCCGTCGAGCGCGATCAAAAAGTAAACGGCGTTATCGAATCTGTACTGCGCAAAACGTTGAATATCGCGGAAAGTGTTTATACACGTAACGAGCACTCAACGGTATCGACGATAACGCATTTCTAATCATCGGCTGTGACACGGACTGAAGCATAATTTCAATCTTCTGCTTAAATCGCCACTTGTAATACAGTTATTACGAGCTATTTATGGCGAAACACAGGCAACGTCGCGGACAAAAACGCACTGAGAGAAAAAAGTGCTTGATCTAGCTAACTCCATAGTTACTTTTGGCTCCAACCATATTTTCTGCTTGTTCCAACAAGAAAATGATGGTGGTAACATGCATATAGAGTTACTAACATTAGGAGAATTTAGTAAAAAATTATTTTCTTTACCATAATTTATGCTAATTATTTTTCCATGTGATTATCGTTGCAAACATTTTTTTCTTAATGTGGAACTCTCAACGCAATGCGTTGACTTTATTCGACTTTGTCATAAAATAAATCGAAAAACGCGAACGTCTAATGGAAATAAAAAATGTGACAATGTAGAGACGTCGTTGGTGTCTCACTACAAACCGTTCTCCTTTATCTGGAGCCAAATAAATAAATTTTGGTACCAATCGATAAAGAATGTTTCAATAAGTGCTCTGAAATTCTATACTGAAAATTACATCTGCGAACTCGTTAAAGTTCCAAAAATTTAGAATTCCTGTCCATTGTCCCATATATTTAGTATTTTTACTTGGTCACTTTGAAGCTCTTTACGGGACCATGATATTGTTCTAGAAGTACCAAAATGATAATTAAAATTTCACTTTGGATCACTTGTCACAGCGGGAGGGCACTGTTTTGATTTTGAAAACCTCTCTACTTGTCATTTCGCAGGTTGTATTCAGATTTCCGTATTCTAATATGCACACTGCAATCAAAGGCAATGCTTCTGTCAAACATTGTCTTCTAGACGAATTGCACATGAATTATCAAGAATAAAAATCGTCCTTCGCTGATGAAGCGAATTGAAATATTCGCGAAACGTCGGAAACGGGCAAAGAAGAACTCACGCAGCTCAAACCCGGAAACCAAATATAATAATTACCAAGAATAAATTTTAATTATCATTCAGTACTTGTAGAATAATGCCATAGTCTTATAAAGACCTTCAAAGTGACCAAATAAAGACACTGAACGTATATAGGGCAATGAACAAAATTTAAAATTTCTGGAACCCTAACGAGTTCGCAGAATCTTCAGTCTCAGCATTTACTATTATTATTAAGAAACATCCGTTATCGATTTGTACCAAAATTTATTTATTTGGCTCCGAACAAAGAATATTTCTTTATCAGAGTGCTCGGACATCTTTCAAGAGTCTTTCGGCACTTTGGTTCTTCACTTGTTACCGAAATCCAAATTCACATCTCATTGAATTCGCTTATTGATATTCTCTCGCATGACATGTCAGACGCGGCTTTTGAAAACGAGAACGCGCGGCCGCTCCGTGGAAAGGCGACGACGAACGTAGAACTTGCGGAAACTTTGAAAGGACACGAACAAAGAATCTCTGCGGTAGCGTCGTTCGCTTTAAGCGCAAGCTGAAGTTTCACAAGTTTTCCTGATCTTATAATTTAAATGAGCGCGATTCTAATCCGCCGGGCTCTCTGTCTCTCATTCTGCCTGTGACTCTTGACTCAGTCGACGCAATCAAAGATTCTTCGAATTTTCGTCGGACTTGCCAACTTGCTGAGATCTGCGAGCATCTTTCTATAATGCTCAATTCAATAGAGCGTTTCAGTTTGCGCACGTATGCCTTCATGTGCTCTTATTGCGTTCATAGAAATATTCCTCTTTTGAATGTGATGAGGAATATTTCACGTATACAGGATGTCTCAAAACAAGAGCTCTCGTGAAGAGATTAAGGTATGGATTAAGAAAAACATAAAAGTCTTATTTTTGCGATATTCGCAATAAATATCGAGATATTGATTAAAGGAGATTTGCGAATGATCATGTGAGATATGGTAGATGAGCCGTAGTGACATCTGCTGTTGTGTGTTTCTACATTAGATCAAACTGAACAAAAAAGTATATTTTTCCTAATAACTTTGTAGATTTTTAGTTATTAATTATTAATTTAGTTATTAATATTATTAGAGAACATTAATATATTATCGCGAGCGACTATCCGCTAATTTTCTTTAATTAATAATTAAAAATCTACAAAGTTATCAAGAAAATGGTAGAAGACTTTCTTGTTCATTTTGTATAAACACACAATGGCAGATCTCACCACTATAGCTTATCTACCATATCTCGCGTGTGTATTCACAAATCTTCTTTAATTAATATCTCAATAATTATTGTGAATATCACTAAACGGTATTGTAATCGATATATTATCGTCACAGAAATTCCAGAGTCTGTGTTAATGTATGGACCGCGAGAATAAATTTCAATAGATAAACGGATGAAATCGCGACATCAGTTCGTCGAGGAAGAAGATTCTACGCGCACGTAAGAATACGTAAATGGCGGCGAAGCAGCGAACGAAAGAGGTGACAAAATCCCATTGGGAGCGCGTCGCTGGCGGCTGCGGGGCGGGAGGAGAGCTCTCGCGCCTCGTCGGAGGTGTTTAATGTTCCCCACGTACGACCACGTGGTCACACGTTAAAAGCGTTTAATGAAAGGGCGTCGTCGCACTTACGCCGGTCGACCCTCCCGGGAGGAACGGGCGGAATAAGAAGAGAGAAAGACGCGCCCGGGTAAAACGCGGGGGAGGAGGGGGGAGGGCGGGATACATACGAGAGGGGTTGGAGGAGAGGGCGGACAGGTGGGTGGAGCGAACACACGCTGGTGGAGGAAGCGCACACACGCCGCATTCGCACATTCACACTCACCTGGATACGTGCCTCAGGTAATCCGATCTTCTCGGCGAGACGCTCCCGTGCAAACACGTCCGGGTAATGTGTCCGCTCGAATTCTGAAACGAAACCAGTTTGCAACAAGTGCTCGTTATTTAGCCGCGTCGTCGGCATTAATTATCGCGATACACGGTAACTCGCCGGCCGAGCATCGCGCGCGTTTCCTCGCGACCGGCGGATATCAAAGGCCGGGGAACGAAGGTGAATGCGCGTTTCCACGTCGAGGACTATCGATGGCCTTTTAGTCGCGCGAGTGCGCAGCTGTGACGCAGTCTTAACTCGAGGCAGCCAGAAAGATATCCAAAATTGAATGTCCCCGACGAGTCGCGGACAAGGATCGCGTGTTCGCAATTGAAAACTTCGTAAAGTCATGACAAGAGAAGGATTTCCAAGGAAACACGCCGTGTATAATGACTGGAACGGGTCGCCGAGGTCAATAACTTTGCGGTTGGATTTTGTACTGACCTTTCTCGAGGCTGTCTATCTGTTCGTTAGAGAAGGAAGTTCGGTTGCGCTGCAATTTCCTCTTCAACCTCAGCCGCACCTGCGAGTCCTCGTCCCCGGAGGAGTTATGCTCCGAGTTACCATCCGAAGTTGTCTCCTGTTGATGCGACAATAGGGAACCGGTGTCTGGAACGAAAATCAATCGCCTGCCTTTCAGATTATCATCATTTCGTTAGCTCTAACTGAATTTCTCTCGTCAGCGACTTCAACGAGATTGATTTTATTTTAAATAAATAAATAATTTGTGTTAACGGAAGTGTCCCCTCTCTCTCTCTCTCTCTCTCTCTCTCTCTAGTTGCGCTAGTAAAAAAAATAAGACGTTGACAATGGGAAATGGAATAATTAACATAATATATAAATAAATAAATGAGAATGTGGAACCATTTTACGCGCGCGCCAGGCCGCACACGAATAGTATTAAAGTACTTATTAATTGTCTTCTCTCTCCCTCTCTCTCCCTTCTTTCGCTCGAACAATCCATCAAGTTCAACAGTTCGGACTTCTCACAGACTTCTTCTGCCTGCGTGAGAAGCGTAGAGGTCTAATTGAGAGGTGCGCATCAATCGACCGATCTCGTAACGCGATCCGCCGTTCTCGAGATTCCTAGACACCGAGGACGACGCCGCGCGTCCAGGCGTGCGCGACCGGTCCTCGGGGTCGCGCGACTTGTGTTGGTACGTCGGTTCGTACGCGCGCTGAGGGTAGCCCTCGTCAGACCTCGTGGGTTGCGATTACTTTCCGCCTCCGCGCACCGCACCCTCGTCTCTTTCCATTCCTCCTGGTACCTTCCTGGCATCCCTCCGTGCCTCCGCCCTGTCGGTCCCTCCGTACAGTGGAGAGAAATGCTCATATATACGTGTATATATATATACATACATACATATACATGCCATGTATATATATGTATATATATATGTGTGTGTATATGTTTGTACATGTACATACACCCTTCTGTTCGTGTATGAACATAGGTATATATATATATATGTATTATATATATATGTACCGTTCGCTCGTCAGCTGCTCGCTTTCTCGTTCGCTCATCTCAACCCCCGCGCAACCCCCAATTGGACTCGACCCTGCGAAACCCCCTCGACTAGAAATACCGGCACCCCAAACACGCCTCTCTCTCTCTCTCTCTCTCTCTCTCTCTCTCTCTCTACTGCCCTCCCTTGCCGCCTCCTCGCCCTAACCGTCGCCACCCTTCGCACTCCTCTGTCACGCGGAACCCACCCCTGAACCTCCTCGCGATACCCCTGCGCGTAGAGCGACCGACGGGGACGATCCACGGCGGTCCGCTACAGACGGATCGTTGGCTTTAATTTTCTAGGTGACGACGCACGCTCGACGAAGAAAGAGAGGAGATTAGCCGCCGATGCTCTCTACGATCCCCGGCCGCTTAATGCGCCCGCTTCGGCCAAAGTGGCCGCGATCGACCGTTCGGTGCATTCCTGTGCACCCGAGTGTGCATCCAGCGGCAGTTGGATGTAACCAGCGAGGTATAAACCACCGCCACCTACAAGTGGCTGCGCATTTAACGAGCGTCTTGCATTCGTACGAATTTTCTAATTACTCGCTCACTCATGCACTTTACTTATTATCAATTACGTTACATCTAACATCATTACGTGGTATCAGTATATCCACCACATGAATTCAACCGTACGCAAGAATTAATTTCATAAAACAATTTTGTCACACACACACACACACACACACACACACACACACACACACACACACACACACACACAAAAGAAATATATCCTGAGGTGACTCTGATTCAGCTATATTTATTTGATGTTTGAGAAGAATTTGATACTTTCCCCGAAATAATCAGAACGATGTAATTAATAAATCGTGATGCGCGAAATGAATTTCGATAGAAAGAGAGAGAAAGAGATGGTAATCATATACATACAGATATTTTGGAACTCCCTGAGAAGAGACTCGCTGGTAAGCGAGAACACTTTTCTACCTGTCACTCAGCCACGACTCACGTAATCTCTCTATTGAGGGCGGCCGCATCTGGATTCGTCATCCGCGGAACGATCCCGGCTAAGAGCCAAACCGCGGACCCGATTTCCGTGATCCTATTAGACTTATAGCGCTATACGACACGGATCCTTTTTCCCCACTCGACCGCATGTGTGCACGCGCTTTGTGCGAGGTGTCGAGAACTCGGTGGCAATACAATGCGATGCACGATCTTCGTGAGTCGAGCGCGAGATGATACTCGCAGAAAGGACACAACAGTTCGAAGACGATATCATAACATTTCAGTGAGAGCTAACGTATAGAAATAAATTTACGCGGCCGTCAACAATTCGTACTTATGACGTACAAGAAAACATGTTTTTCTTACAATTTTGGTATATACATGTTAGATACTATTCAAAAAATAGAGGATACTTGGCTAGATCGGTATATAACGGAGAAATAAATAAAAACAATGACCACATATGACCGCTGAAATATTTAAGACACATCAGCAGCCACTAATACCACAAATACTACGCAAAGTTACGCGAAAAGTTTAGTTCGATTTTTCGCCTTGTTTGACGGTAAATTAGTCACCTTCTTCGAGAAAAATACACTACTGTCAAGAAATACTATGTTAAAAAGAACAATAAATTCAGTTAACTTGTCTTCTATTAAGTGATGATTATTTTTTCAAGAGAAACTATTTTCTTTTGCTAATAGTTATATAATGTAATAATCAGATAATTTTTAATAGTTAATATAGATATATAATAGAGTTATATATATATATATATATATATATATATATATATATATATATATA